AGTGCGGCGTTGGTCAATCCGGATGGATCGTTGGATGATGCTTTCGATGCCGACGTTGTCGTCATAAATTGCCAATTGAAGTCATATCTCGGGATGAAGCCCGTGCCGATAGGCGGTGATGAGAGCGGATTCGTTCCATCCCAAGGTGGCGGCGAGTGTCCTGAACTGTACTGCATACGCTGAAACTGATGATTTCCCTTGCCTTAGACGATATAATTGATCCTGCATAGAGATGGCATGCGCTGACTGAGAGAAGACTTCGAGGAAATGACCGGAAAAGGCCGAGAAAGTCTGAGTCACGGGGCCGCGATCTTTCCATAGGGCGTGTGCCCAGTTCAGGGCTCGACCACGGAGCAGTGAGATGAAAAAGGCCACTTTGGAGCGCTCGGTGGGGAACGAGGATGGATTCATCTCCATGTATAGCTCGCACTGCAATAGAAAGCCGCTGCATTCCCCCTCCTCGCCTGAGAAGGGCGCTGGTTGGGCCATGGGACATACAGAGGCAGATGTGGAAGAAGTGGATGTGGTGGCTGTAGCGAGTGTAGATGAGCTGGTCCGGGGTACGGCGGGTGGTGGCGGCGAATTAGCCGCAGAGGAGGTGCTGGGTGGAGGTTGTAGCATTTTGTTGGTCTGGTCTTCTGTCACGAATCAGAAGGACACAGACGGGTAAGTATAAATGGAGTTTATTGAAATGAAAAGTCAATGATCACAGACGGGTGAGTAGTAAAGATGCAGATAACTTCAATCGAGATGATACAGTCTGATAGGGAGTCTCTTATCTCTTAGCAGGATGGGATGATCTGGAGAGCTGGCTGGATCGAACGGGAGAGCTGGCTGGAGCCGAGGAGATCAGAGAGGAACCGGGAACGGGAGCTGATGGGAGACGGACCGGAGGAAGAGGCTTCAATAGCAGGTAAGTGCTAGCGTGGTTTTACTCAGCGAGTAAGGAGTCTGTAGTCGAAGTTAAGATGAAACCAGACGGTGAGGGACTGAGTGAGTGGGTCTTTTATGTTGCAGGTGATTGGGAATGGGAAGTGAAGACAGGTGATGAAGGCAGGTGAGGATGATTAGTAGTCCGGGGAACCAGAACGAGTGGGCAGGGTGATGGTGTCTGGTGCTGACGCAGATGGCTCCGTGACACTTAATGCTCGTGAGCTTCCCTATGCCCTACTCCCTTCAAAGGGCAGACGGCAGAGCTCTTCAAGTGGGACTTTGGAGTGAGCATGGCCATTTATGTAGCCGTTTGGAACTTGATGAAGGGAGCAACAATAGACAACGTAATGTAATTATTTTTACCTAGGATGTTCCTATGACAACGCAGCACTTTGTCCATCAGCTGTATTGCTGTTCAGACGACAGAAATATAACGATTAACATAACGGTTGCAAATACATTTTTATTTTTTTATTTTTTTTTACTTTACAAAAATCTGTTAAAATATCTGTTTTATATATCTGTATGTGCTATACATTACCTAACATTTTTTAGGAAACTTTTCTTATGAAAATTTAAACATAAAATGAAACTATCTGTATGGTGTAACTGATGTATAGATTAATATCTTGCCTTCATGTTCTTCTTCTGTATCTTTTTTTATTTATTTAGTTTAGTTTTCAGATCATTGTTCTTTTCTCATTCGTATTATGATGACATTGAACATGTAGTTAACACATGTTGTATATTGTACACAAGTTGTATGTCATAATAAATTGAATCTATAAACTATAAAAAATTATAATATTATAATATTATTTATATATACAATGTTATTTTAATAGTATAGTTTATTTATAAAAAATATAGACTTTGATAGGTTGATATAGGTTTTTTTTGCTGTAAGCACGTCCTGTCAGAGCCCGTCTAACGGAGAGCCTTTGCACTTCCTATGAGCCCCATTGTATACCATCCTGGTTGCAGTTCCATTAGAATTCCACTGGAGGTGATCGCGGGCGAGAGCAGAATGAATGGGAGTCTATGGGGCTAAACGGCTAAAAGTGTCTCTTTCACCTGCTTGTCGTTAAATTAACTTAGATTTTATTGTTGATTCCGCGAGTTCAATATAGATTATAGGCCAAAAGTCGAATGAACGAGTACTTGTCCTTTCGATGTCTTACAGGTTAGGCTGTTGTTGGCCGGAACACGCTAGCATTCTGCTATTGTGTGACGTCATCACAGTTTTGAACGGATTTTTAGAACAGATAAGTGAACTTAAAAATGCAATTTTCAGCTAAGTGTAATATCTTAGCCCTCCCTTTTGAATGCAACTTTCAAACTACTTGACAAAAAATTACATCCTGAGAAAAGTGGATTTCCCCATTGACTCCCACTCATTCTGCACTCGACCGCGAGCGCCCCCGCATGGACAGAGACGTGTTACTGCAGCCAGTCCAGAACCCGGAAGTAACCAGCCAGTGCCAATTCTCTTCAATTAGACATTCTCTGGTCCTGTGTATGCTATGAGTCGGGTCCGTCACTTATTTTGTTCCCCGGAAACATTTCCGTTGTGGACCGTGTTACTTGCAGCGCGTTTCTGTATTTGGTTGTGCAACGCATTCTCATCCTTTAACGTCATATAGAACGCTACAGTATATGACAAAACGGTGCTATACTACGCACATGGCACCCGTTATCGTTAATATAACACGTGCTGTGAGGGCTAAGTTTAGGTGTGGGGTAGGGTGTGCGTGTCATATTCACGCTAAAGGATTTATAACGTCTTGGGTTCGCGTGTTATATTAAAGATAAAGGGTGCCATGTGCGTAGTATAGCGCCGTTTTGTCATATAGCGTTCTATATGACGTTAAAGGATGAGAACGGGCTGGGTTGTGTTGTGAACGTTTGCAGCGCGTTTCTGTATTTGGTTGTGTTGTGAGCTTTTGCAGCGCGTTTCTGTATTTGGTGGTGTTGTGAGTATTTGGAGCACGTATGTTGTGAGACTGATGAAGATTTTCTTAATTTGCGGGTGTTTTTTTTCTGTTTGTATGCATTTTTTTTATTTGCAAGAGTTTTTTTCTATTCGGATGTGTCTTCATCAGGTTACAGCGCGGTGAGCTCTCTCGGCCACCGTAGATTTCCCCATAGCGTCAGCCAAATAAGGCAATGTCTCTGACTTGTCTATAACTACTGTATACCAAGTTAGAAACGTACAAAACGTTTCTCTCCTTTCACATCCACATCAAGCACATCATCTGAACACAGATGAAAAGTATGTTCTGATGGGACCATTTGACAAGCGCTCAACAGAAACATGTCCACCATGAAATGTGATGCACCTGCTGAACATGCTGAAGCTGACAGTCATGCCCTGCATTATATCTCTGGCCCAGTGGTGACTTTGATTTCCAGTCTTTCCCCACGTCCCCTTTTTATCTTTGTCTGAGAAACCGGCTGGAAACTCCAAGTGAAAAGCCTGGAGCATCTGATTTAATGCTAATCAGATTCAGATATCATGATATATACATATATACATATGATGTTTAAGAGCTTTGAAATAAGAGAGGATGGCATGATGGGATGTGGAAATCAGACAGAGATCATGATGGGATGTGGAAATCAGACATATGATGTTTAAGAGCTTTGAAATAAGAGAGGATGGCATGATGGGATGTGGAAATCAGACAGAAACTTTTTTTTTTTCCTAAAAAGTTAGGAAAGGGATGGAAATTAATAGAGGAATCATTTCAACATTTTTTGAAGATATGAAGCAGCACAACTGTTTTCAACACTGATAATACAACCCGGTCTCATCCCAAGACGTCATATAACTGACGTTTTGGGACGTCTTTTGACCATACGTCAATATTCGCCTTTTTAGGGCCCCCTTAAACGTCGGCAGATGAGGTTATGGGATCCTAACTCTACCCCATACCTAAACCTAACCCGTCACCTAACTGACGTTAAAGGTAAAGCGTCAGTTGTATGACGGCCCGGGATCGCCATCTACCGACGTTTAAGGGGGCCCTAAAAAGGCGGATATTAACGTATGGTCAAAATACGTCCCAAAACGTCAGTTATATGACTTTTTGGGATGAGACTGTGTTAGATAATAATGAGAAATCTTTCTTGAGCAGCAAATCAGCATATTGGAATGATTTTTGTAGGATCATGTGACACTGAAGACTGGAGTAATGATGCTGAAAATTCTGCTTTGCCATTACAGGATTAAATTATATTTTACATTTATTCAGACAGAAAGCTTTAATTTAAAATGTAATACTATTTCACAATTACTGTTTTTACTGTATTTTTGATCAAGTAAAACCATGAAGTCATGAGAGACTTCTTTCAAAAACAAACAATCTTGAAACTTTTTCAAAACCAACCTGAAACTTTTGAACGGTATATGTATACTTTATATCATGTAAACATATATAAATAGTCACAGGAACATATTATATATTTTTCTGAAGATGTGCAGTCTTGACACAAACTGTTGATTGACTGACATCAATAAAATCAAACTTCACTTGTTCATGTGTATCTCTGTGACTTAGCATTATGACACAGATACCAGTTACTGACACATTGTCATATTTGAGATTTTAATTTTTTTAATCCTCTTCTTATACAGCCCATTCTCACCCCCAAGGCGTCACTTAAAGGTATAGCGGAGGATCTTTCCGAATTTTAGAGAAGACCCGCCCTCTCCAATTTAAAAAAAAAATAAAAAATGCACGCACAAACACAACACTCCCGAGAGGGAACAGCTACTATTACGCCTTGCACAATTATGTTGCAAATTGTAAACTAACTCAAAAATATTCATAAAAAAGACAACATGTCAAATGCCCTTCCGTGTTTTATTTACTTATTATACTGATCGATTGAGTGACCGAGGACTCAAGACATGATATGTGCAACCCTGTATCACACGAAATACGATCATTCTGAGGAAACTATTTTGCAAATCGCAATTACGTTACATAGCAACATATAAGCAGTGCTATTACGTTGGTCCTTAACCTAATATGTCTCATTGTTAATACGTAGGTATTAATAAGTTATTTTTATACATAGTTGCGTATGAAGAAGTAGCTTGTTGCATTTGTGTAATAATAAACACACAAGGTTTTAGAATATGAACACATGAACACGCAAGGTTTTAGAATATTTCAGCGTGATACCATTTACCATTTTGGTCAACTTTAGACAAATTGAGATGTTTACCATGTCTATGCGGTGCATGACTTGTGCCAGGGCTAGCATTGCTAAGTAGCTTGCATTAACTTTTACTAGGGATTTTAAATCGATTTCTCCAAATAGCATGACAAACTTTACCTGTCTGGTAGAATCTTCGCGACTGCGGCATCAGTGAGAAGCCCAACCTGTGCTTTTAGCGCACGCCAGCGTGTGATATTCACCCAAAATCACTCTGGTCTTGTTTCTATCTTCTGTGGCCTTTCTCTTCTTATCATACACTTCGTATACATTTTTTTTCTCTTTCGACCCTCAGCCATTTTCAAAGGAATGGCTGAAACCGCAACTCCGACATAATACACCTGAAAGTGAAAACTATAGGGACGAGCACGTACGACGGCCTTACGTAAACATATCACCAGAATGATTGACACTTAGATCGACCAATAGTATAGACTACCCACCCGGAAAAAGAAAATCCTCCGCTATACCTTTAACTGACGCCTTGGGAAGCATTTGGACATGCTTCAATATCTGACGCTTTAGGCGCCTTTTAGCGTCAGTAAGATGACGCCCTAGGATCGCGTGTACCCTACCCCCACCCCACACCTAAACCTAACCGCGTCCTCTAACTGACGCTTTCCTTTAAGCCCCGTTCACACCGCCAGCGATTTTGTCGCTGTGTGTCGCTAGGCTCTGTACTGTGATGTCGCTTGTGGGCGTTCGTAGTGCTGTCGCTCTTGTGTTATTGGTAGACTGCACGTCTGGCCATATTTATACAAAAGACCACCACAAGTGATATATAATTTTAATTTGACTGGGAATAAATGACTTTGTTGGGAGAGTGTTTTTATATCTCCACAGCTGTGTTCAGTGGATTAAATCATTTACTAGATCAACGATCGATCAATGAACAAATTAAACT